TGGACTGGACCAGTGTGGTACATAAGTCACCTGATCGCATTAAATCCACATTCAGTCTCCACCCCAGTAAGGCTAGTGTGGAATAGCAGTCAGAGATATAGAGGCCTAAGTTTAAATGACATTTTGATAAAAGGTCCTGACGTTCTGAATCCGATCAGAGCTGTCTTACTGAGGTTCCGCACTGGTGTCTTTGCTGCCCTTGGTGACATCCGCAAGATGTACAACTCTGTCTGGCTGGATGAAAGAGAGGTCCACTTGCACAGGTTTCTGTGGCGCGACATTAAAGATGCAGAGATAGAGGATTTTGCCATAACAAGAGTCAACATCGGAGACAAACCTGCTGGTTGTATAGCCCAAGTCGCCATGCGGGAGACCGCCAACTTGCCTCTGTTCAGCCATTTTAAAGAAGAAAAACGTGTACTGGAGGAAGATGTATATGTCGATGACATCTTAACCTCTCACAACGACCTCGACCACTTGAAACTCCTCACATCCAATATCGAGCAGATCCTGAAAGGAGGAGGATTTATCATGAAGCCTTGGGTCTACTCTGATCGAAGTGGGAGGAAAGGGCAGAGAGGTGGAAATGTGGAGTCAACGACCGTAATCCTGCCAAACCAGCTAACTCCAGAGGATAACAAAGCCCTTGGCCTCGGTTATACCATTGAAGACGACAAGTTACACGTCATGGTTTCAGTGAACTTCTCTAAGAAAAGGAGAAAAGTGCGCCTTGGCCAGGACTTACCGAGGGAAGAAGTAAGAAGCCAAACACCAGACCCACTTACCAGAAGAGAGCTGTTAAGCCAAGTCTCTGGTCTTTATGATCCCCTCGGCCTTGTGGCTCCAGCAAAGCAGAAGGGAGCCATTCTGATTCGTAGAGCTTTTCAGGAAGCGAAAGTGATGCACTGTATAGAAGACACCTGGGATGCCGCCTTGGCTAAAGAACTCAGAGAAGATGCAGTGAAGCTCCTCGAAGAGTATGCTGACCTGAGGCTACTGAGATTCACCAGGGCCCTTACGCCGCCAGATCCAGGTGGACGACCATGTGGCATTACTTTCTCTGACGGTAGTGAGCATGCGTATGGCGCCGTGCTGTACCTTCGTTGGAGTTGTAGCCATGGGATCGTCGTGACTGGTGGAATCTAAGGCCAAGCTGACTCCTCTGGATCACAAGGGTGACCCGGTGAAGGTGGAACTGTGTGGAGCAGTCTTTGCAGCCCGGCTGAAAAACACCGAATCGATGTCAAAAGGTGGTATCATCTCGTCGACAGTCAGACCATCTTGGGTGCAATACAGCGAGAAAGTTATGGCTACCAGACCTTCTTCGCGAACCGAGTTGGCGAGATCCAGAGGAGTACTGACACCCGAGATTGGTTGTGGATTCCGGGGTCGGCAAACATTGCAGATATCATCACTAGAGGGGCCAGTCCTGATAATTTAACTGAGGAATCCGAGTGGCAGTCGGGTCCACAGTTCCTTCAGCTTCCCGAGAGTGAGTGGCCGAAAAAATCAGCCAAGGACATTTCTGTACAAGCAAGAGATAACATCGCAAAAATGCAGAAGAAAACATTTGTTGCGGTACTCACCCGAAGCCAGCAGGAAGCGCAAGATCCAATCAAAGTCCAGGGGACAGAATCCAAGTCCAGAAGAACACCAGTAATAACAGTGGTCCAAAAGCTAGTGGATGAAAGGCGCTTCAGTAGCCTAAGACGGTTGACCGGGGTGATAGCATGGACTTGGAGAGCAGCTAAGAAGTTTCTGTGTGCTGCTAAGATGGGAGATAAAGAAAAGTGGGAGGTAGTTCAGTCATCTGGTGTCATCACGGTTAGTGAAAGAGAAGAAGTGTTCCGGAACTTATGCCTGGTAGCGCAAGAGGGTGCATACTTCCCGAACACAACAACGGACAGACTGGTTGTTTACAAGGATCGGAGAAGTGGTCTCTTGATGTGTGGTGGTAGGATTCAGACCTTCAAAGAGGACCAGAGAGCAGTTCCTCTGCTACCTTTCCAGTCCTGGATCTCTACCCTCCTAGCCCGAGAAGCACATAGTGAAGGACATGATGGGGTGGCAGGAACTTTGCTGCGGATGCAAAAGAAAGCATGGGTCATCAGAGGGAGAATTATAGCCCGAAAAGTTGTTGACAGGTGTATCTTTTGCAGGAAGGCAAAAGCAAGGGCATGTCAGCAACTAATGGGAGATTTACCTGAAGAGAGGTCGAGCCCGGCTGCACCGTTTCAATTCACGTGTGTTGACATGTTCGGACCATATGAAGTAAAGGATGATGTCAGAAAGAGAGTGAGTTTGAAAGTATGGGGTGTGCTCTTTTGCTGCATGTCGAGCCGAGCCATCCATGTCGAACTGGCAAGCGCGCTAACAACAGAGAGCTTTCTACTTGCTTACCAAAGGTTTACTTCTATCCGAGGTCAACCTCAGAAGATCTGGTCCGATCCAGGTAAAAATTTTATTGGAGCAAAGTGTGTCCTGGAAGAGATGTATGCTTACCTAAGACAACAAAGCAAAGAGTCGCTTGAGGAATATGCTGCTAAGAATGGAACTTATTGGTCATGGAGAATCCTTCCAGCCAACTCACCTCATCGTAACGGCGCTGCTGAAGCTGCGGTCAAGATCACCAAAAGAGCTCTCCAAAGTTTGTCCAAAGGAGGAGGCATTACTTTTGGCGAATTCCTGACGGTGCTCAAACTAGCTGCCAATCTCGCCAATGAAAGGCCTATCGATGCCAGAGTCCAGAGCCGTGAAGACCGCATCCAATACATCACTCCGAACACCCTGTTGCTTGGTCGAGCTTCACAGAGTGGAGATTTCAAAGAATTCGATTACGCTATTTACCCCTTCAAAAGGCTGCAAGAGATGCAAACCCAAGTTAGCTGCTTTTGGAAGTCCTGGAGCCAGCTTGCAGGTCCAAACCTGTTCATCCGCAGCAAGTGGCATACTGCCGAAAGGAACGTTGCCAAGGGAGACATAGTTTGGCTTTGTGATCAAAATGCACTAAGGGGGCAGTTCAAGCTAGCAAGAGTCATCAGTGTGAACGCAGATTCCAAAGGCATAGTCCGGGATGTCCATGTGAAAGTCTCTCCGAGCGGGTGTGTTCAGGCGAAGATTCCAAGTCTCGGACTTGCCAAAGAGTCCGGGTCTAAAGAAAAGGATTTCCAGGGTACTATATTGCATCGGGACGTACGGCGCCTCATCGTCCTCGTTCCAGCAGAGGATCAATTCGTTGGGAACCAGTTCGCCTGAGTGGTGCGATCTTTCCGCTTGCTCTGCGCAAAGATCGAGTGGGAGGTGTTGCGGCGATCTGCTGGGAGGTGTGTCTGCGTGTGAGTGCAGCGGCCTTGTTTCATGCACGTGACAGCGTGTGTGCAGCTCTGCTGCGCGCCTCAGCAGGTGCGCGAAATTAGACTAATTAGCAGAGACGCGAGAAAGCTTCAGACAATGAAAGCAGAGATGTGTTTGTTCAGATTTGCAATGCAGCTAAGAGTAGTGGAAGAAAGAATAATTCGCTAAAGAATCACGGATAAAACTCATGGGAAAAGGAAAAGATCAAAGGGGCTACCGGTAAGCTGACATCTCTTTACTGGTTTCTGAGGACTGCAAATGAGATCTCTGGCTATGTAGTTGTCTGGATGGGAACGCTGTGTGGTCTGTTAAGTGCATTTGTTAGTGCCACTATTAATAGTTTGAGGCTAAATATTTTGTACAAAGCTGTTTAACCATTCCTGTACAGAGCAAACCTTGTGCTAAACTACTGTAATATCATTTAAAATGCTTTCCTTGTAGGTTTGTGATTATGGAATGTCATATATAACTTCTGTATGGATGATCTGGGGTATAGGTTCATTTAAAAAGAAATGGGCCCCAGCAGAGCTGGCTTTCTGGAAATGTAATGGCTGATTTACACTGTTTACCTGGGGTGATAAACTTGAAGAAATGGTTAATTGATGTGTTAATCCAGCTTATCCTTTGCTTGTTGTATTTTGATGTGCTTTATTGTATTTGTTGGGAAATATTGAACTTTATTTAATTTGTTATTTTTTGTATGTTTAAAGGTTTTTCACCTTCCTTGTTACTGGTCAAATAAATTGAAGAACGAGTGAAATCCTGAGTCTGGTTGATTCCTTCTCTTGTCAAGTGTGGGAAGCCATGATGTTTGAAGTACACTTGACATATATATATATATATATATATATATATATATATATATAAAATACACACACATGCATATATATTTAGGAAAAAATATTATTTATATAAAATATTTATAATATAAATTATACATAAATCTATATACAGTAAATACATGAAAAAAAAATTCTTAAATATATACAAGCATGTGTGTGTATATATATATATATATATATATATATATAAAAATTATACACATTGCACCCACATATATTATGTGAACACAAAAACTTTTATGTTGGATGTGATTAATTGTTTGACAGCCTTATATAATATATTCAATATTATATAATTTATATATTATATATACTTCTATATATTTGTTACACTCCTCTCTGGAATACGTATTCCTATTGGTCAATTGTGGTTTTCTGAGGTCAAATATATTTGTAAAACTCTATCATCTCTTTGTTCTAACATAATGAAATAACTTAACATTTCTATTTACTTACTTATAGTGTAAGCAGTCGGTCATTACCTTAAAATCAGCTTCTTCAGTTTGATAAAAGATCCCTCAACGAGGTTTAATTTGCAATAATGAGTGGATAACTGGATGCCTTATTGAAGCATATAATGAGGGACTGCACTGAATACTTAACCTCCATTAGCTAATATCTTGTCTACTTGTAAAGCAAAGGTCAAAAGAAAAGAGTAAAAAAAAAACAAAAAAAAAACAAAAAAAACAGAGAACAGGGGTTATTCTGAACAAAACCCTTGGTTTGAGTAGCTCACCATTCAGGTTTTACCTGTAGGTATATGAGAGAATGCAACTGCATGTGTGTGTAATCAGTGTATCTCACCAACGTAAGGCGATTTTGATTGGTGTAGTGAGACAGGAGGTGAAGAGGTCAGCAGGGAGGTCAGGGTTCATGGGCAGGAGCTCACTGGCCTCACAGGCGGCCAACTGAATGCAGTTTTTCATGGAGGGAGGCAGGGGCATCTGAGCCAGCGGGTGGTTTGGGTTTATTGCTGCCACCTAGTAAAAAATAATGAAAACAAGTGAGCAGAATTATATCAGGTGGTGACCTATGTATGTTCAAGTATGTTGTGTCGATGCTGATGACTCTGATGTCTGAATGTGTTCAACAGACTTGAGTGACACAAACACCAGCTTGTGATCTTTTTTTTTTTTTTTTTTCAGAATATTTTCCCTGACAGAACATAACACTTAGCACTAAACAATTTTGGTCATGTCATTTATCTTTAAATTTATCTCTAAACTTCATAATGCTTAAATGCACAATGCTAAGATAGGGCTGTGCTGGCCGGCAAAAAAAAAAAGTATATAATCTGTGTGTGTGTGCATATATATATATATATATATATATATAAGCACAATCAGGCCTTAAAGGCTCGTTTCTATTGAGCAATACGGTACGGTACAGTAAGGTACCTAGCACGGTGGTACGGTACTGGAGCTAGACTCACTGCAGAACGGTGATTGATTGACAGAGTATCGTCACTTGCGTGTGCTACAATGGCATTACAAGCTCCATTTTTTAATATACAGTTGAAATATAATACTACTGTTATTTTGTCACAAAATGTAGTTTTAAGCGTTTTTCAGGCAAGAATGTAGCTATACTTATACTTTTATAATGGCTATTATTGATAAAACTGAAATCCACTAAAAAGAGATAGTTTTGTCGTTTTTATTTTAATACAAGATCATTTGTAATGTTGTTTTTTGCAACATTTGTACCAATACTATATGCAATACATTACATATTGCCTGGAATATGTTTAATATTTTTAAATTTAAACGAAAAGAGGCAGGGTTGTGTTTTATATTTAGTTTTGTTATAAATATATACCGTACATACATGCAGTGAAAATAATCAATAGGCTATGCGTTGCCTGGACCACATTTGTGTGCTTATAATGTTTAAAATGTATTTAAATGAAATCGCAAAGAAGCAGAGTGGTGTTTTATAACATATTTCGTTTTATTGTTGCCTAACATATACATACAGAGATAAGCGGAGTAGCAGAGCGAGCTGAGTGGCGCATTCAAGAACGCGCTGTTCCATTCGCAGAATTACTGGACTCGCATCCTCGGGAATCATTCTGGCTGAGTCGGACTTTGCATAGGCTACTTGGTATTGAGAAACGCCTAATACCAGCACTTGTTTCTTGTGACAAACATGCAGAGAAGCAAGAACAAGATCTGCTGTATGTCATCCATTGTTGTTTACTATGTCACTTTCTTCGCGCGAAAATGACGTCGATTGCATCTTTCTGGCAAACACCACGCCTATCAAGTACTGTTGGCGGTGAAAACGCAAGCCGGATCATGATTTACCGACCCGACCCGTACTGTATCGTACCGTGCTGCTCAGTGGAAATGAGAAAGAGAGACCAGCAAGAAAAATGGAGCATAGCTGGAAGAAAACAAAATAAGTCGTTTTTCAAATTTCATGGAGAGAGCGAGCACTATTGCGTACAGAAATACCTTAAAAACTGCTAGATCTGCTTATTTGTTGATTCTCTTAGAAGAATACAAACACAAGCCTAGGTATTTATACAATGGCTAAATTAACAAGAAATAAAGCTTCTACTTCTGAAGTTTCCAAAGAGCATAGCAGTAATGACTTCATTACTAGCAAAATTGATAATATAATCTAGACTAAAAACACATCTCTTTAACCTGGGATACACATAGAACATTAAACATTCATATTATTATTTAAATCAGTTAAATGATTATTAGGCTGCATACATTTGGTCAGCCAGAACCAGGAACACTTCCTATAACACCCAACGTACTTGTTACATCTTAAGAAGAATGGCATCTACGCTAATGTTAGTCTTTCTGTTTATTCCAAGGTTTACTGTGATCAGCCGGAAAATCATTAGGAAAAAAGGACATAATTTGCCTGGCAAGAGTGAAAATCCTGTTCTAATTAAATGTAAAAATATATCAAATAATTTCTTTGTTAAAATGTTGTGATATTGATTCATTTTAAGTTTATAATTATTCTATAAATGTTATAGAATAATGGCAACACGTAATATCCACTGTGGTTTGAGATTTATTTGATTAAAAAAAAAAAAAAAAAAAAAACTTTAAAAAACTTTTTCTTTGCTTTAAGTCATCTCTCCTCTCAGATGGAAAGGGCAGTTCAGTGGCTTTATCGTGGGGGTGTAGGACAATAAGTTGTTAATCGCCACTCTTTCACACAGAGAGTATCGGACAGCCAGACTTTATCTTAAAGATCAGGCAAAGGCAAAGTTCCTTTCAGGATAAATATCTCAATGTGTCCGATGGTAGGCCCTATCTTATTCAATTATAAGTATAGTAATGTATTTAATTTTTTTTTATACAAAAAAAAAATCAATTGAAGTGTTCAATGCAATTGTTTCAACTGGTTTTGTAGAGTTTTAGAATGTTTGAGCAGTGTGTAGTGTCAACAATCTGCCATTATATATTATCTGGCAACTGGCATATACTGGCAAATGAACTATTAACTAAAAAATATCATGCCTACTACAAATGAATGCAAGTGAGCAGCAGATAAAGAGCTCTATTATTCGCAAACAGCCTCTTTTTATTGTAAGGTTAATTCAACAACTTCTGTTTCTTTTAAGCAATGAATAAATAATTTGTTACAGTTTTTTTTTTTTTTTTTTTTTTTTGACACAGCATGCGCAGTGAGGCAGACAAAAGAAACTTGCTAAAAAGAGATCCAGCGCATCCATGAGAGAGAGGCAAAGAAAAACACATGTTCTTAATTTATGTTGCTTTGTACTATTTGCATTTTGTACTGTTTTAATTGTACACAGCAAAGCTGCAATTTCTTTGGCAATACAAATTTAAAATGTTGCAAGAATAAGATTCGGTATTTCTCATTTTGCACTGAAAAGGGAATAAACACTAAACTCAACACTATTTAAACCTTGAAATGTGCAATGGGGTTTTAAACTGAATTATTTTTAGTGTTATTTTACATTTTTATTAGTTTTCATATTGAAAGCAATACTATTTAGTTAGGAGTCCATTTTATTTTTGTACAGCCAAGTCAACAAAAGGTTAAGAGTCTTTTTTCTGATTTGTTCAATTGATCTGTTTTGAAATTTTTCTTTCATTGCTATGGGTATCACTGTCAGTCATCTCAATACTGTGAATAATTCCAAAAACAATTAAAGCTGCAAGCAGCGATGGGCGGGCCCTCGCACCTGTAGCACGTCGGGGTCTGAGGCGGCCGCGTTGCATTTTCTGCAGCTCAGCCAGTGCGGCTGTGTATTTACTACGCTGCTTCGTTAAAGGTCACTTCCTGTTGCCAGCAGGTGGCACTATGACTGTGGGTGAATGTCGGAATGTAGATTTGTTCAGGGCGGGACTCTTGTCAAAGGTGTAAAATTTCATGCATATCTGGGCTTTTACAGTCAAGTTACTACAACTTCCTGTTTTAAGGCGAATCATCGACGCCACGGACACGCCCATCGACGAAAACCCGCAGATAGCACAACTTTACATCGTCAATGCCTTTAGAAGGCACAGCAGAAATGTGAAGTCGATCCGACTAAAGCCCTAGGAGGAGTTAGTTAAAGTACGTAATGAGTAAATCATCCAAAAATGGCAGTAAAATTAGAAATGGCCGACTTCCTGTTGAGTTTAAGGCATCGCTCCAAGAGGCTGTTTTGTGTGTCTGTCCATGGTAGATGTACCACAGAAATTTCTTACATGTCGGTCAAACATGCGGCGGGGGCTGCTTTGTTAAAGGCCACTTCCTGTTGCCAGTAGGTGGCACTATGACTGTGGGTTAATGTCGGCATGTAGATTTGTTCAGGGCGGGACTCTTGTCAAAGGTGTAAAATTTCATGCATATCTGGGCTTTTACAGCCAAGTTACTACAACTTCCTGTTTCAAGGCGAATCATCGACGCCACGGACACGCCCATCGACGAAAACCCGCAGATAGCACAACTTTACATCGTCAATGCCTTTAGAAGGCACAGCAGAAATGTGAAGTCGATCCGACTAAAGCCCTAGGAGGAGTTAGTTAAAGTACGTAATGAGTAAATCATCAAAAAATGGCGGTAAAATTAGAAATGGCCGACTTCCTGTTGAGTTTAAGGCATCGCTCCAGGAGACTTTTCTGTGCGTCTATCCATGGTAGATGTACCACAGAAATTTCTTACATGTCGGTCAAACATGCGGCGGGGGCTGCTTTGTTAAAGGCCACTTCCTGTTGCCAGCAGGTGGCGCTATGACTGTGGGTGAATGTCGGCATGTAGATTTGTTCAGGGTGGGACTCTTGTGAAATATGTAAAATTTCGTGCAGATCTGGGCATTTACAGCCAAGTTACTACAACTTCCTGTTTCATGGCGAATCATCAACGCTTCGGACACGCCATCGACGAAAATGCGCAGATAGCACAACTTTACATCGTCAATGCCTTTAGAAGGCACAGCAGACATGTGAAGTCGGTCCGACTAAATCCCTAGGAGGAGTTCGTTAAAGTACGGAGTGTGTAAATCGTCCAAAAATGGCCTCCAAATTCAAAATGGTGGACTTCCTGTCAAGTTTAGGGCATCGCTCCAAGAGGCTGTTTTGTGCGTCTGGTCATAGTAGATGTACCACAGAAGTTTCGTACATGTCGGTCAAACAAGCGGCGGGGGCTTCTTCGTTTAAGGTCACTTCCTGTTGCCACTAGGTGGCGCTATGACTGTGGGTGAATGTCGGCATGTAGATTTGTTCAGGGTGGGACTCTTGTCAAATGTGTAAAATTTCGTGCAGATCTGGGCATTTACAGCCAAGTTACAACAACTTCCTGTTTCATGGCGAATCATTGACGCCACGGACACGCCCATCGACGAAAACACGCAGATAGCACAACTTTACATCGTCAATGCTTTTAGAAGGTACAGCAGAAATGTGAAGTTGATCCGACTAATTCCCTAGGAGGAGTTCGTTAAAGTACGGAGTGTGTAAATCGTCCCAAATCGGTCGCCAAATTCAAAATGGCGGACTTC